TTTTGAATATTTATCATGTCAGTCTAAAATGATACGGCTTTTGAATATATCGATATATAAAATTATATGAGAAGTTCCAGTTAGCCAGGAGGGTTGAAATGTAGATTAAGAATGGTATTTATCACTCCTTATCTTTACCATTGATATCTTTTTTTGATGATGCTGGAAGCATCCTAGATCATGCCTCAGTTACCTCTTCAACCAACAGATTGGTGTTCCTTATCTAGTAGGTTGCTGTTAAGTTCAATTTCTTGCTGACCTTCTCTATGGGTGATGTCTAAGAGTATCTTTAAACTGTGGAGTAAGTCCTCAAGTAGCGATTTTTTGGGATGCTGGTCTACACTCCCTTGTATTCCAGCCCCAAAACCCTGTACAAAGGTAGGATCTAACAGTCCTTCAGTGTTCCCTGAAACTGGTTTCTGGAGCTTCTAAGCATAACTTTCAGGACCCTTCAGGTGAGGTGGACCCTTCACTACTAGCTCCTGCTTCCTTATTGTCACGGAAATACAGTTTAGCTATTCTCACAGTTCATGGTAGGTGAACAGTTGTGCCAGTCAGCTCGTCCTTGCTGAGTTTTAACTCCAATACAGTGTTGTTGCAGATACAGGAGGCTGAGCTGACCATGAAAACGACAGTCTAACCTGCTGCAGAGCTATTTAAATCCAGCTGTAATTCAGCACAGCCAATTTACTTTTCTGTCAAGGAAAAAAAAAAATCCCAATGTTATTTCATAATTAAATATACGGGCAAAATGTAAGCTTCCAGATAAAGGAAATGTCTTTGAAGATAGGTCATCTCTGTTTTGCAATGTGTACTGTACAAGAAATTTTAAGAACATTTAATTTTACATAACATTTTACATTTAAGAACAATTGCATTTAAATTGAAAGACATTTAAATTAAAAAAAACTAAATGTATTACTGCATGTGCATTTATAATAACTGGTGTAAAAACTTCAAGTTCAGTACTTCAGGACATCAAATCAAACTTCTTTATGTTTAATTACTGCCTCCCTAAAATTGCATTAGCATTATTACTTCTAAGTGTGGTATTTATTTAATATCACATATATTTGTAATGTGAACTAAACAAAAGATATAATGAAGTTATTTCTAAATTACTTTTTTGCCTTGGGAGTAGAAACATTTTTTATTACAAGATCATGAGCCATGATAACCCATTAATTAATTTGCAAGGAGACCGGAAGGTTCAGTTACAGCTTTAACAGAAAGGATATCAATTATTTCTTCAACCATTTGTGAAGGAGCCGTGGGGGGCAGGAAGAGACCAGTACAACAAAAATGGAATTGAGAGAATGACACTCAGCAATAAAATACTTTACATCCACTTAACAGCTTCAGGTGGAACTGAATTTAGGACACAGAAGAGAGATGAACGATCAAACCCCTAAGTCAGAACTTCTTGTGGGAGGTTTTGAATTCAGATTTGCTTCTACAGAGGTATTGATATTTACTTTTCACAAAAACTAGTATTTTAATATAAAGATATACTAAAATATTTTAAATCCATTATCTAAATTGTTAAGCTAAATTGAAGTTACTGCTTTCTCTAAGCTTTTACTGTACTGTTCATACTACTTGAAAAACCACCCAGTAAATCCACATAAAACTCCTCTCCAATCTTCCAATCTACCAAACGTCGTTTGCTCAAAATAGAGTTTGAATACATGCATAACTTTAGGCAGGTATTCAAGGAAATAATCATAAACTTACATACATACTTAAATCCTTTGCTAGATTGAGACACTATTTTTATTTTACACATCACTTGTCTTTTAATAGTGCTTTATTACTTGTATGCTTTTAGAAACAACCTCAGGAAAGTCTAGTTATATAAAAAAAAAGTTTGTATCTCTAAAATTCACATATATGTTAACAAAATTCATGGCTATCATGTCCAAGGGTCTTATAGTAGTGTATTTCCTTGTCTACTCCCTTGGGGAGAAATGCGTGCTCACTGACTATCTTGTTTTAGTAAGCTTTTTGGTTTTATGTTTGTTATGTGCAAATTTAAACTAGAGACAATAGCAAAGAAGCGTACATTGCAGTTGGAAGCTGATAGAGCATGGTGTTACAGTTTTGGTGCTTATCCTTGAGAAAACTCCCAGATACATATCTGATAACAAAATGATCATGGAAGAAGTGGAGATGTTAATCGCAATATTCTTCATAAAGCTGTAGGTAGATATGCTGTGGAAAATCCAGAATCAGAAGTCCTGAACAGAAAGGCTGAGGCTCTGAACTTAGATTGAAACTCTGAAGGAAATAGAGAGATTCAAAGGCTTAGCGATGTGTTTGTAGCAGTCTGCGTTGCTGAGGAGGTAGATCCTAGTATGTAGGGAGATAGCAAAACGCTGAAGACCACATCTTCACCTGTATATCACAGTTTCATAGACCAGGCAAGAGGAGAGGAAGGTGTGATTTACCAAGGCACAAAATGACTCCTTGGTAGTCTCTAGGAGAACAGATGACAGAAAATATCCCTGTCAGCTCTTGTATGTGAGACAACAGTGGAGAATCCAACCTCCTAACCTGTCGGCTGACCCACACAGATGCTAGCGTGTGTTTTCTGTGCCGATAGGTTACAGCATGGCTGTGAACTCCTGAAAGTGTTTTTCTTGCTCCTCCTTCTCCAATACAACTTTTCTTTAGGTTCCATATGCTTTTCATCTATAATTTGATCTCATATGGCTCCTGGGCTATCATAGCTCAGTTGGTATCCATATGTGGTAGGAGCATAGAGGTGTCTGTTGCCTGACTCTGGCACCTTTTCCTCCTGGTGGCTGCATGCTGGTGATACAGAGGCCCGGAAAAAGGAATCCTTCTCGAACTCCACAAACCAGTGATCTCCTGGGGAGATGTTGTCCTAGTTCCCATGATATATCTTCAATATAAAATTAAATAGGGAAGTTAATATGCCTGTATTCTGTTCTCTTTGTACAAGGGAAGAATAAACATGTATTTTTGTTATTTTAAATGACATCAAAATATATTTTAAGTTTGAGTGCTTGATCCTTCCAATGTATTCTTTGATTAGGTCGGAATTGCAGAAAAACCTCTGGCTATATGCACAGAAAAGATGGTTGACTTTAAGTCCTAAACAAAGTAAAATCACAAGAAATCTGTTCAACATGTAAAGTGCGTTCTGATGAGTTGTGTTTTCTAGTTTACCAAGGACAGCATTACCGTGACAGAGTGAATGTTGCCTTAACGGTAGTGAACTTGACCGTGGTAAAAATATGTAACCGCCAGAAAAGAACAGAAAAATAACATACATGAACAAGTATCCTTATGTGTTTAGAAGCCCTTAAGACTGAAATAAATGGCTGATCTAACATTGTTGAATAAATATAAAACTATTTTATTTTAGATTTGGGATGTGCTAACACGTTGGACTGTTTTATGAAGTCCTAATTGTATGAATTAAGTAAGCTTTTTAACATGGCTTATTATGAAATCTAGGAACAGAATAATTCTGGGAAAAGAAAATTAAGTCCTGAATTAAACAAACTGTTAGGTGATTTGGATTGTTTTAATAAAAAATTAAAAAAGAAGGTTTGATATCATTAGAGTCCTGGGATCCTGCTTTTGTGATGGTATTCCAAATACTTCTGTTAAAAGACCTCTAAACTGAAAATTGGTTGAAACTGGAAACGTGTTTTTCGGTGGACATTTTTGGAAGGGTTTTGTGCACAGAAGTAACGGAGTCCAGGGCATAGGTCTTTATTGGTACTCCTTAGTTACTTAACTAACTTAATTCATTAAAAACCTTTTCTTGATTGGTATGCAGATTTTTTGTCCTCTTTTCATTTAATACATAAGGAACAAGCCAGGGACTAATTGTATTTGGATCTTTTAGGAATTCATTTGAACTGAATCATTAAAAAAAAAAAGGTTTTTTTTCCTCTCAGTTGCGAATCAAGGATGTGTTTCTGTCGAGAGACAAAGCATTTCTATGAAGTAGCTGCATACCTGGTTCATTCATACTGATATCTGTGAAGTAAGCACACACTTAAATCACCTGTTTAAATGGCAGTCTGAGTGAGATCAGATGTATACGTGCTTAATGTTTAAGAATATTTGACAGCTATTATTTTTCATGAACCTATCTGATATATGTTTAATGTATTTAATAAGAAAAAGCAAATATTTCATTAAAGTATATTTTTTTAAAGTATTGTGGTGTCGGCTGCCTCTGTTTACTAAATAGATCTCAAAACACTGTCTTTGTTTATTTTTATAGTTTACAGCAGTGCCTTTAACTAGCCCCTGTAAACTTTTGCAACTGTTAGACCAGTTGCAAGCTCATATCACTTTGAAAGGATTGGTACTTTGGGAAATGTAGAGCAGTTCTCCGGACTGCTCAGCAAGGTTTTTGTCTTTGTTGATGATTGGGTGTATAATTACATGTTTTCTTTTTAAACTATAATGTATATTTTCAACTTGAGCGATCAGTCCAACAATACCAGTGCAGGCTGCTGAATAAGATCTACCAAAAGGTCAGCTGAAATGGCTCATTTTGGATACATTTTCCTTGTCTGAAAAAAAAAATAGATGTTTATTTACCAGATATATTCAGTTTTTCTTATGTATGTAGACCTTTACAATCTGTAAGAGTATGTTGAAAAATTTTCAACATTTGATTGAACTCTGCCAATTTCTGATAAATGTCTGATATGCTATTATCCTCCTGTGTTTTATTGGAAAAATATTATCAGAGAAATTATTGCTGCAAGTTTGTAAAAGCAGCTTTATTCTTTTTCCAGTGGTTATTGTATATGCTATACCATTGATCGGTGGTCTATCATCAATCTTTTTATCTTCAAAATATAGTATAATGACCAATACAAAATTCGAAGTTCATCATCATAGTGACCAAAAGGTGTTTTGCTTTGTTCTGTGATGAAATACCACATAAATGAAGCATATTAGTTATGTTACTAATGTTACTCATTTTTTGAATGATCTTGTTGTTACAGCTTCTGCTACATTTGAAGACTTTCAAATCCGGCCCCATGCTCTTTTTGTCCACTCGTATCGAGCGCCAGCCTTCTGCGACCATTGTGGAGAAATGCTGTGGGGGCTGGTGCGTCAGGGACTCAAATGTGAGGGTAAGCTGCAGTGAGGTGTGATTTTTAGTCTCAGTAAGAGTTCATTCCACTTATGTATGTTGTCTCTGATGCTGCTTTTAAATCGGTTAGGCATCAGAAAAAAAATTACAGTAGGTAGAGACAGTAAGAACTATCAAAATAATTAACTAATTAAGGAACTAATCCTTTTGGCTGCTCTGAGGTGTCCTAGATATGGCTCTGTAACCTGAAGTGAAAAAACATGGTCTATATGTATTTTTAAGACAAGATTTTCTGTGTCTTACACTTCCCTTATGAGGCTGAGCCTATATGTAATTCTATATCACATTAATTCAAATCATTTAACTGAACTTACTGTCAGTCCATATGAGGCTGTAATAGCTATCTTCTCATGTTTTCCCACAACTATTTGCCTCCTGGTTCTGTATCCTATGGAATATAATGTTTCCAGTGAAAGACTTCCTTACCTCCCAAATGTGGATCATAGAAATTTCTTGCACTTTGAGACCAGAGATTTTTGAAAAATCAAAGAAAAAACACTGGATTTAGATATAACTGTTCAGAACTCGTAACATTATCTCTCTAAAAATTTGTAGAATATAGGAACAAAACCAGCAGAATAGAGGAAAAAAGTTTAATAAAAAATAAGGGTGGTGTTTTGAATTTTTTTTTTTTAAGTGCTTTCCTTTTTCCAGTAATAAACTGTATCAGGTGGTTTTAAATTTATCTTTTCAGGATGTGGTCTGAATTACCATAAGAGGTGTGCGTTTAAAATCCCTAACAACTGCAGTGGCGTACGGAAAAGGCGCCTGTCAAACGTTTCCCTGACAGGACTCAGCACCGTTCGGACAGTTTCTGCAGAACCCTCGCCCAGTGTGCCGGATGAAGCCCTTCTGGTATGGGATTCCCTAGCTATAGAGGCCATGGGTGTTGCTGCGAAGAAGCAAGGACATTTAGTGCTATAGGATCTGGTTTTGCCTGTTACAGACTACAGAGGAGGGTGGTATGTAAATTGTAAAGCATTGCTGTGAGAAAAGTCATCTTGACATAAAAGGGAGGTCACCAGCTTAAGGTATGTGGGTTTAAGGTATGTGGCACTTCTGATACTCCCAGTAGTCTCCTCCCATTGGCAAGAATTAGGTTATTTTGAAGGTCTAAAACTGCCACCCATGCTAACGTGAGTAGTTGCATCTTGGAGGATGCCTTCTCTGGAAATAGAAGTTGAATTTCTTCTGCATCAGATCATTCTATCCATTGGTTTAGGATATAGGAAAGATTCGTCCCAGGAGAACACTGTGACCCAAACACCACGTTATCAAATTGAGTATCTGTAACAGTCAAGGCTATAGTGAATTAGTAGGAGCCGGTGTATTTAGCATGCTAATTTCTAAGTGTTCAGAAGAAAGTAGTAGAAATCTCCATTATTTCCTTAAACAGATCTATTTGGTGAATGTATGTATATATCTGTATGTGTGTAGATGTACAGTATACACACAGGCACATGTAAATATATGGTATAGTTTTATATGCATTAATAAAGTAATGACAGGAGTAATTTAGAATTACATGTATTTTTTATCTTTGGCGTATTTGTTCCTTTTAACACTCATGATCATAATACACTTGAATAGTTAAGAATTTACACTGTGTGTAAATGAATCCACTCCTAAGTGAAAGTTTTGAAAACCTTAAGGTTTAAAAGAGAGGAAAGAATTTATAAGTACACACATCAATTATCATGTTTTCCTCTCAATTAGAATATTAAACTTATTAAACTTGACATACTAAAAGGACACTATTGCAAATGATGTAGATCTGGTGTTATATGCAGTACCATCTATGAACCATAATTATGTACTTATGCTACTGATTATCATCAGCCTGAAACTACTTGGAAATTAAGGTTAACATTCTGAATCTGTATTTTTAATTGAAAAGCTGCATAAATGAGTAAGGTGTTTAAGTTCTGCAAAAGCTGCAGCAAGAAGTCTATAGGGATTATTCATAATTCTCAGTATTGTATCAGAAATGCTCAGTTGTATCAGAAATGCTCACTTATTCAGACAGAAAATTTTGAGGAAGGCTGGCCCTAATTCTGAAGTGTTTCTGGAATTTTGGTTAAAAAAAATATATGAGTGAGCATCCTGGTATACTCTCTATAAATATTCACTGCACTGTACAGTTGTAAGATAGCAAAAATTTTCAATTTTAAAACATTTTTAATTCGTTGTTTGCTGATACATTCTGGTATGAAACACCGGTTTTGCAAGGCTACATATTTTAAAAATGTTGAAAATGTTAGAATTGCTAGTGAAGAAATATAGTGAGTTTAATATATACTGCAGGGTATGCTTGTCTAAGAACTTGTAATTATCAGTGTACCTACGCTGATGATTCAGAATATCATACATGCGCACACACACGTGCATGCACAAAGAAAATATGTTTACAGTAGGTACGGGGATAGGCATTAGCCTAGAGAAATAAAATCACTTTCCGATTTCACCTTTGTTTCAGGAAATCATGGTATCATTTACCAGCTTCTCAGAAGTGCTCTCACATATGGCTTCTATATGTCTTTCGTTTTTTTGGGGTTTTTTTGCATTGAATGTGTTTCAATTTTTTCCCCTTTTCTTTAAGTGTGCATAAGCTTTGTCAGTTCTCCTGTATCAGATCTGTCCTTTGGACTCCATTCTTCTGCAGTACTTGTCAGATAAGTTTTATGGCAGTTTATACTGTGGTACCAATCAAAGCATGCACTTTGGAATGTGTTTCACTTTTCTGCACACTGTGTGAATATACTAAGAAACATCATCCTCCTTCACAAAATTGTATCATTCGTTATTAGTATTGGTGTGGCACTTGAATCACTGGTAACAAAATATAACTTATGTTTGAGACCACTGAATTCAATCAGATTTCTGTCAATTCTTTAAATAGGACTAAAATAAATGTTATTTTTACCCTTATCTACTATGTAGAGTCAGAGCAGTTGAGAGAGAAGGAGTTCTAAGAGACCTTTCATAGGTGGAATTATTAACTACGTTATGATTTCAGAACCTTTTTGTCGATGTTGTGTGAACCAGAAAGAAGCCAGCTTTAGCTCCCCATGTTAAATTTAGCTTGTAAATCTGGCTTCTGGAAAAATGCCACTTATAAAGTGAAGAAGTTGTGCCCTAACTTATGAAATTGTGGCATTCAGACAAATCTTTGAGACAGGATAATATGGAATCCTGCAAAGGGTATTTTAATTATCCTTTCATAGGGAACCACCACACACAGCCACAGTTTCAGTTTGTGTGTAAATGTTTTCATTTGTCAATAAAGCATTTCATTTGAGCTGAAAATTGACTGGGGACTGTATTTAAGTGCAGCTTTAAAAATCTACCTCCAAAGAATAAAATGGGGGCAGTATCCTTTTTTTGATTCTTGACTTAGTGTAAAACTTATCAAATACTAAAACATGTAGAACTAGGAGGATGCTATGTAACCCAGATTTTTACCCGTCATAGCTCAAATGCAATTCTTTTGCATTCGATTCTATAACATGAAGTGAAAGTATAAAATAATCGCACATTCATGCTTGCTTCTGAAGTAACATTATTTTCTGTCTTTTTTTTCCCCCCTCCCTTATTTCTTTGTTTCGTTTTTTCTTCTTTCCAACCTCCTGTCTCAGTCTCCTGTCAGCCCTGGCTATGAGGTATGTACTGAATTTGCTCTACTCCCTGTTATACTATCAGGAACATCCTCTTTTAGGATTATCAATGTCAATGTGAAGAAATGAAGGAGTTTAATCAGATCGGTACTTTATGCTCTTCAGAACTCAAGAGTATTTATTTTTCTATTAGAAAGAGTATATCCAGTGCAAAACTCTGAAGTTCAGATTCCAAAGTGAAGGTCATAATTCTTTAAAATTAGCTAACAATAAATATTTTGATACAAAAGTGGCATTTTAATTTTTTAGGCATAATAGACGTCACTGGTTGGACTATAGCCCTTGGTAGCCCTTTTTTCCTGGTAGTAACATATGGGAGGAAAATTTTAACTTCACTTTCAGAACGTTAGGCATTTGCTGGAATAATGTAGAAAATAAACATTTTATTTTAAGCTGAACAAACCTGACCTTTAAGTGCTCACCAGCAATAAACTTCTGATATCATAATGCAGAGTAGTAGCTTTTTTCCAGAATACGGTTGCATTAAAAAAAAAAAAGTCAAGGACTCTCTATTTCTGTGGAAATAAACATGAACAGTGTACGACTAAGTTACAGCTATATATAAAAAGCATCAAGTCTATCTTAATGAGAAAACAATTTTATGTTTTTTTTCATGGGTACTCCATGTCAAAGGTGGTCCTCTTTGGCTTTCAATATGGATTTTCCAAAGAAATTTGTTTCATGTTTAAAGTTTCAAAAGGTTCTGAAACTATGAAATCTTGGCATCTTTCCCTTGCAGCATGTATTTGAGATGCAGGCAGAGAAGAGCAGGCTTTGCAAATGTTTTCCTTTTTAGAAATACTACACAGTTAATATGAGGAATATTTTGTTATGCTGAAGTGAAGATTATCATGGCCAAACATCTATCTCTTAAGAAAGGAATAACTTATTTCTTCCTAAAACACATATATACTTGATGTAGTGTGCCTAAGTATCATAGTGTGCCCCAGAAGTACAAGTCCACACAATACCCATAAAACAGTACAAACAAACAAAAAATAGAATAAGATTTTTGTAATATCCAAGATAATTTTATTCTAAGTATGTGCCATCTGAAAAAAATGGTAAATCCAGCAATCCAGATAGTGATGGATTACCCTAAATTAACAGTAATTAAAAATAGTAATGAAAAAAGATAAAGGTATTTGGAGGAAAAACAAAATTGTGTTTCTTTTGTAAAAGAAAAAGAATGTTAATCATCTATGTTTTTAATTTAAAATACATTTATGTGACACAACAGGATTTTATCTCTATTTTTATATATATTTCCATTATTTTGGTATGTTTTATTCATTCTTCTAGTAAGCTATGAATATTGATGTGTTAAGGTAATTTTACAGACACATTGGCAGTGATTTCTCAGAAAAAGCCTAGCTGAGCTTTGCATTTAAGGTAGTATTGCTGTGTCTTACGGGGCACAGGTAAGTGGAATACTGCAGTTACTTACATGTTATCATTGCTTTTTAAGGGAGAATCCGGAATTATTTTTTACTAAATAATTTACTTCACTTTAGTTTTAAAAGACTATTTGCTTCTCACTTCATCAGAATACAAAGCAGCAGGTGTTGCCTGCCTCTGTACACTTGTTATAAGCAAGACTTGGCTTGAGGCTTCTCAGCTATATGTAGAAGAGTGATTTTTGCAGAAACAGGACAGTAGACTCACTCGGAGGGAGTTGTCTTGAGGTGTAGATGGCCATTTTATCTTGTTCCCTTGTATCCAGCTCTTAATACAGCAGCTCTTTTTTCTTACTCCACTGAAATAAGGAGCCCTCATTTCCAGTGACTCAAAAATTCCCACTCTACAAAGCCTTCCTTTTCCACTGTCAGACAGAAGACGCCTCTCCTTTTCCTAGTTCCAGTCCCTTTAGAGCCTCATATGGCCTCCTCAACTCCCTGGACTGGAAAAAAGGAGCCCCTGAGGGAAGGGTTAAAGAAGAGCTAGGGTGTTCCAACTGAGAGCAGCTTTGTGCCTTACGCCAGTTGTAATTGGTAGGAGTCCTTTTCTAATGGCTAGAGTTCATTCGACCAAAGATCCTCAGAGGCAAAATTAATATTTCCTCTTAACAAAGGACACTCAACTCTGAATTAATACCACTCATAGTTGTGTTCTCTTCTTGTAACTCCCAAGTTATGCTTCCATGCTCCAGTGATGTACGTTGCACATTCCTGTCTGTCCTATGGGAACTTATTTTCAGTGTGCTTGTTGGTTTAATAAGAAACCCTATGCTATTTTGGCGAGTTCCTCTGGAAATTTTTTGAGGTCCAAAATCTAGATGTTACTTAAAATTAATAAAAGTATAAAATATAGGCTGTAAACTAAACCCATCTTAAGTAATGTTTACATTCATTTAGTGCCAGATTCACCAGATGAGCCTAGGTTCATGCACTGAACAGAACTGAGAACCAAGAACTCAATGAATCTGACACTGAAAATTAAATATTTAAATAAGGAGGAGGAAGGAGGTTCAGGTTGTTCTTGTCCTCAGGTAATTGTCACTTGTTCTTAAATCCCCTATTTTCTTTTTAGGAAAGACAATAAAAATAGTTGTCAGCTTTTGATCCTTCATAGAAGTCACCGTGGCTTAAACTGAGGACTTGTAGATGCTCTGTGACTGTGACAGTAGGAATTCTTTAGTAGTGTATGGCACATCTAAGCAAACATACACTCAGAGCGAAGTTTTTGTAGTTTCTATGTACTAACACAAGAGTTTGCACATATTGAAAATACAAATGTGTTTTGAGGGATAGAGGCAATCAGCGCAACCTTTTATCTCTGCTTACCTGGCCCAAACATGTTCAATGGCACTTTCCTTTCTAACATTTAAGCTTGTTCTTGTGCATTGGTAACATCCTACTGCCCCCAAACTCCCTTCCCTTTAGACAAGCCTTGCCAAGCTGGTTTGTCTAGACCTCCTCTGTCCAATGCCAAAACTTTTTCTAAACCAGTCGCTGTGGTTAAGCCCAAAAGCTTGCTGGTTTTCCCTGATTTGGTAAGGATGGTATTGGAGACAGAGTCAGATGGGATGCATTTACACAGGCATTGAAAAAAAAAAAATAGGCAATATTAATATGTGACAGTGTGAACCAGAATTGTACAAAGGTTCCCTGAAGGGTTTTGTCTTGAATTATAACTTGACTATGCCACCTTTGTATCATGGTATGTACCTTTTTTTTCCTTTTTTATTAGTTCTATGCAGTAGGCACAACTGAGCTGCTGAGTCTGGCTTATGATGTGAGTATTCTAGTAGTACAAGAGACTTAACTGAAAATAATTTATTACTTAAAATTATTATACTTAAAATTATGAAGCACATAATAGAAGGGCAAAGTAAACCTAATATTTTTGAAGGAACGTCTGTACGGTGCAGGAAAAAAGCTTTGTGCTCTATAAGCCCTACTATGCCTGCTGTCACTAGCAAATCCTTTGTCAGCAAAGGGCTTTTGGTCTCGGGAAATCCCTGACTCTGAGAAGTTAGTGTAGTCACACAACAACTGCTGAAATGCAGTAATCTTTTGTTACTTTACAAAATAAGGCAGGTTACAGACAGAGTATTCAAACCACTGTTTGCTGGTATTGATGTCTGAGTGGAGGAACAGGGTACATAATGATTTCCATCTGTGGATAATTTAATATTAACAGCTTGTATTGAAGTCAGTTCTTTGATGTGTTTACACATGTAACACTCAAATGTTTTTCAGACTGTAGCTATCTAACTATGGTGTTTGTAGGATTAAATCATACACTTGACTTAGTGCAAGAAGCCTCGAAAGACAACACAGTTGATTGCATTCTAAGTGTGGTATTTCAGGATATTTAACTGAAGATTTGTTTCCTTGAATTCACTTAATTACAGTCACATAGTTCAATTTGTAAAAGAAAGTCAGCATTTGCATTGCATTAAAAACGTAGTAGTTCCTGTGGTTACATAGATATCTAGCACCTCATTTGACAGTAGCTTCCTGTGAAGAAATTGTATATGAACATATTAAGGCTTTATCCTCTGCCTTCAATATAGGAAGGAAATGCATGTTTCAACAAGTATGCTTCAACACTGAAAATGAAACTTAACGCAGACAGTTATTGCTGTTTGGTTTTTTAAATATACTTTTTATCCTTTTTTTTATATACACTTTTCTCAGTTGTCCAAGTAAATAAAAAAAATAATAGCTCTTGATAGTTTGTTTCTTTTGTTAAGGCAAACATTTCAAAACTGTAGTAATACCTGTGTTGTTTTTGATTGAATATCTCAGTGTAAAGTACAGGAATAATGTCACACTACTTTTTAGATATTGAGCCTGCAAAAGGTTAGCACTTCCTTGTGTTTGAAAAAATTATATATTTAGGAGAGTATAGAATGTTTAGCTTGTTCTCTTCTGAGTGAAGTTTACTGACTTTGATGTGTTTCCCCAAGCATAATTTCAAGTAAGATGATCAAATGTCAAAATTGAAGTATTTCTTTTCTGACTCCTCTAGAACATGAAGCTTATCAGTGAAGGTTTGTCAGAATCCCTGGGACATTTTTAGTAGGACTGTTGAAACCTTTTAAAAGAAGGTCAGGCAAAGAGCAGTCTATTTTATGTTTTAGTCTAGCCTGTGCAGCTGGATTGCAGGGCTGATCCTTGTCTTTGTTCCTGAGCGGCCAACTCTGCATCCAGTCAGTCAGCTTTTATTGCTTCCCGTCAGTCCCTTCAGCATCTCCCTAAAGTTTCTTTGGTTTCTGTGCCTGGGAGGGATAGTTGTGGTGCTAAAAGTCAGTCAAACTCACCCAGGTAATAAAACCAGCTGAATCCATTGGCAGAGAATCAGTATTTATTTCAGTTTCTTAATTGTATATTGCAGTGGATTTGGACAAGGTAAAACGACAGACAGGAGGGTTCTCCTGCCGAGGGATTTTGACCTCTGGGGTAGCAGTTATATGGAAAACTGTCTCCTTCCTGCAGTGACAGGGTTCTGCACAATGACTTTCTGCTGTTGGCTACTGTAGAGAAATTTCTTGTGTCCTTGAATAGCTTTTAACCAAGCTCACCAGATAAACTATGAGTAGCTTCAATATATTCCAAAAATTAGACAAAATCGAATGAGGAGGGGCAAGGCATCAGCTAATAAAGAGTCATGCAGAATGCCCATGTTGGGGAAAAGCTTGGCACCTCTGCCTTCTTGGAATTAAAAAAAAAGCCACAAGCTTTTTTCAAAATAAAAGACTAAGCAAGCACTGGATTCCATTAGATAGTCTCATAGCTTAAGGCATAATTGAATTGAAGTTCCTGGATGTGATCAGTGTCACTAGCTTGGTTGGACATCCGTACAGTTAAATATCTGTATGAGTTTCTTTGTGTTTGTTGTCACTTGGAAAATCATATTCTGAACTGTTAACAGTATAGATTACCTTGCTGGGATGATTGTTCTAAAGGGCTATTTAGTCTTCGGAGCCACACAGGCTGTGAGTTTCCATGGTGTAATCCAGTTAAGCAATCATTTCCTGGGAAGTTTCCAGATTTGCTGAGTCAGTAGTCTGGCTGACTACCAGGAAAAACTAATTTGTCTTTCTGACAAACCAGGCACACCAGCCGAAGAAGAAGGTGCTTTGTGGAAGAGATTCTTGCTTTTGCAGTGAAAATAGGATAGTTCCTGTTTTCCTTTTCTTTCAGGGGCTTTAAATTGTGGCATCTCTCTGATGTCTCTGTCAGCAGCTTCCATTCCCTTCCTACCTCTGAGCACAAGCCGAGGGTCACGTTGCCTCTGGCTGGAAGAGGGAAGGAGAGTGAGTCTGTCAGATCCGGCCTGGGCATGCAGGAGGGGGACCAGATCCATGTCTGCTCTTGTCTTTTCTAGTACGGGAGAAGGTGAAACTCAGCTTTACCTCTTACTTGACCTGAAGACACTGTAAATTAAGAATTGCTGGTGTGTTACGTGGTGTGCTACGCTGCTATGGTGTAGCAGCCCAGTGCTTGCAGAATGGCAAAAAAAGCTGACGTACTATTTCTGTAAATAGAAGAAGCCGATGGATATTTTCTACAAACAATTGGTTTGAGTGAGTTTAGGCCTACCTATTTAGTTTCACTCGTTTTGCGGTGAGGGTGGCGAAATGGTTGTGTGTGTTTGTTATTAAATTTGTTATGCATCCTCAGTATATTATTTTTAACAGAAATATAAGAAGTATTTTGAATATTAAAATCACATTAAAAAATTAAGGGAGGGACCAGTCTTGAAGACTGACATTCTGCAGTAGGTCTTCCAATGTTTATCTTTTGTTTAGTATTCATTACTGCTTGAACTGTAGAGAAACTTCTAAATTACTAGCAAAAATGTAGTTAATCACCTGTTCTCTAATATTACTCGTCACCCATGTGAAATGAGACTTGAATTAAATCCTTTAAAAATTATGTGTGCATTGACTGATAGAAATTTTGGGAAACAAGTTTAATAAACTACAGTACAAAAACTTCATTAATGCTAACTTGGTATTTGATAAAGCTGATGGTATGATGAAACTGTTGCAGAGTTACCTTTCAGAAAGGATTGAGTTAATGTAGAGCACACAGAATTCACTTTTTTTCCAACCTGCTCTTTTCTCAGAACAATCCAGAAGCATATACTAGCACATTAAAACCAAAAATCTTGCCATCAAACAGCAAAAAAATATAGCAAATAATTTGTGCCAAACCCATACTCTACCACACCTGAGATTTAATCAGACATCATCTAGGCAGTGCATCTCAGTGGTCAAAGCCAAAGCTGTAGGGAAGCCTGTCTCTCTCTCTTAAACATAAAAGTGCCTGAGATTAGTCTCAGTACATTTCAGCAACACTGCTGAAATTTCTAAAAACTTGCAAGGCACTTGTTGAGGAAAACTGTGCCAAACCAGCTTTCTAAAATCCTTTGAGCATGAGGTAAGTAATTTGGACTTTTAAAAAGCTTTTAGCACTATTCAGTTGCCAAAATAATTTTTGATTTGACAATAATTCAGAAAATGAAGACAAAGAATGACAATACGAAGTAGATTTAATTTAGGTGATATTAGACAGGGTTTTAACAGAGATCATAATGTTAAGAGATATTTGTATCACTTGTACTTTAGACAAGAGTAAGATTGTCAAGAAATAGCTCTAGTGGTAAGAACAGTAAATTGAAATACTCATTTCTTGCAGTGACATAATGAAAGCAAGCAACAGAACTCTTTCCCTTTAGAAATTCTTACGCTTTTCCAGTTTCATATGTCTTAAGAGAATAGTATTACTACAATATGAGAAGTCCACCATATGTCCATATTCAAGACAAAGGCAGCAAAGTGTTGTGACTAATGCCTTGCAGGTAGATTAGAATTAAGGCAAACCACTAAAGAATTACTTTATTCAAAAAGAAAATTCTTGCATTAAAATGTAGTATGTCACATGTATAACTGTTCTGAAGAGCAAATTCGGAGCTAGGTGTCTGACCATAGTATAGGGTTGAGGATGTCCAACCTGTAAGGCACTGCGCTAAAACGGAAGTACCATCAGTCTGGGCCAAGCCTGTCCCTATTCTGCATACAAGACCGAGAGGACTGCGTTAAGTATTTCTGGCTCCTCCTGTGAACTTCGTCCTGTCCACAAGTACTGAGGGCTGTCATTTGCAGGTAGTTTGCACAAGCTGAGCAATGCAGTTCGTGCTGTGTATGTGGGCTCATTCTTCCTTCCTGCTGGGCCTCTGCCCTCCTTTTCAAAGCCCTGTTCATGTTGACTTCATAAGACTTAATGCAGTCTGCCTTGGAAATATTAGGCAAACAATATTGCTAACTGACAAATATTAAATAAATTTAATCCTAAACTGAGACTAGCTTTTTTTTGTATGCAGAAATGCTTTACAGAGCATGAAGGTCTAAAACTTGGGAAGTAAACGTGTAGTATTGAAGTGTGCACTTGTACGTTTTCCGCTATTATTTGTGATGAAGACAGATGCTTTCTTATACTTGTTTCAATCTAGTTTGTTTATGGTGACCGTATGTACCTGGCTTATACAATGTATTTTGCATATTTCTCCTGGATTTGACAGAACTGTGTTTTTACAGTGGATAAGCACGTGAGGTTCACATTGTTTTCAGTTAGCAGCGTAGCTCTAATGTTCAGCAATTCTGTTGCATATGAGTCTTTGGAAAGACAGGTAGCTCTTCAGTATAACCAAAAGAAAAAATTTGATCTTCACGGTAAGAAACCTATCTGATCTTTGGAAGGAAGAAACTTCTTTTTTCCTATGGCAAATATGCTATGAAGGCAAAGTCTGGACCTCCTCAAGTTCTTCTGCCATCAAAATGTCTTTCAAATTCCCCTTTACTCTCAATTAACTCCCCTTTAATCTCAAGCAGAAGCATGCAAAAATGTATTTTTATGTTTTGGTGACCAGGAAATAATAATAAATCAGCCTTGTCAGTTGCAGAATTTCCTGTAACATTATTAGTTCGAAACAAAACATTTTTTCAAGTTAGGGCAATCTGGAGTTTCAGCTACCACAACTTTTTGAACGGTGCAGGCTCACTGGGGAGTGACTCGTTTTGTAGCCTTCAGTTTATTTGCAGATGATGGCAAGAGGATGCTGAGTTTTAAATGATCAAGCTGCATCTTGTCACTTTTTTCTCCTTTCCATGTTAACTCTGGGTGTAATTTGGTTGTTTCTCAAGGGCAATTCTTAGGGGAAAGCAGTTTTCTGTGTCAGTTGTTTTATGGGATAATAACCATATTTACATCTAAAAGAATTTAGTAGGGAAAATAAGGTAACTCATTTCTTTCAGAAATTCTTTTGATTCCATACCTTAGACTGTGTCTCTTACTTGATACATATTTATATCTATGCATTTAAATACCTGTTGTGATCTATTGTGTATAATCTAAATGTGATAAGGTTAGCCATAGCAAAAGTTATAAATAAAGGGGATGGAAATACTAATCTGTTTTCTAGCAAAAACCTGCATGCACACAGAATAAGGTAGTAATTTTCTTAATGTTTGTAGCAAAAATACAGCCTTTCCAAGATATAAAGGTATAAAAGGAAAAAATAAGACATGTAAAAATGGCTTGTGTTTTTATTAGAACACAAAATACTTTTCTGAGATATCTTTAGCGAATATTTTCATTTTGATTAGAAAAATATTTTTTTTTTTAAATAAAAACCTGTTTCAGCCACAGTGTGAAATGTATGATAATAGTGTTGGCAAAGATATTGTCTGATACCATTCCAATTTTTCAAAAGCAGCCTGAGAGAGGGTATGTTGCATGTTCTGTTAGTGTTTAAAAGCACTTACATTATTTTTTATGACATATGATTTACTGTTCTTGAGGTGAATATATGTCAATATGATATTCTTTTAAAAATTAATACATCATGATTAATTCAAATGTTCTTTTTATGTATTTCACAGCAAAAGACACAGTCAGAATCATTCACTGGGCGAGAGAAGAGATCAAATTCACAGTCCTACATTGGGCGACCTATTCAGCTCGACAAGATCTTGCTGTCCAAGGTTAAAGTGCCTCACACTTTTGTGATCCACTCTTACACACGGCCAACAGTTTGCCAGTACTGTAAGAAGCTTCTCAAAGGGCTTTTTAGACAGGGTTTGCAGTGCAAAGGTAAGTAAACGCCCTTTAGGAACATAAAAGCTAAGCATAATAAAATTAGTAAATTAGTGTTTGAGTAGTTACTATGTAGCCTTACTCATGATTTCTTCACTAAACTGTCTAGGTGTAGGCACATGTACAATTACATTGGATTAAGCTGGAGTCAAAATTACGGTAATTGCTGTTCCGCAGGAGCTGGCTGCATGACTGTTCTTTCGTACCCTGCGGTATATCTGCAGTAGCTCACATCTTTTTCATTCAGGTGTAAATTATCTTGTATTTGGCACTAGGTGAGCGTGTGCTCACAGGCAGTTACAGCAGAATAGTTAGCACAAAGGACTGTATTCTTCATTGTTTTCAATCTACAAAGTCTTATGCTTGAATTGAAGCATGTGCTTAAGTCCCAGCATTCAGTGTTTTGGAGGAGCTGTAATGGAAATAAAATAAGATGAGCTTATACGAGAATTTAAAACCCCATTTTTTCAATGTGACTAATACGCTCTCAGGTCTCATGGTGTTGTACCTTAGCAGGTACCAAAGTGAATCAAGCCCCTTGGACTGTAGCCTAGATTACAGGCTCACCTCAGCCTACTAGAGTGCCCATAAATTCAAAGCATTGTGCATGCTATGATGCTAGATAACATGGGCTAACAGATCCTTAAAACCACCTTCCTTCTATTAAAATAAACAATAACTATCATAGAATTAAGCGGTAGACTTTGTGTTGCTTCTTTGAACTAACACCCTGCAAAAATTCAAAGTTGCATTCATTTAACTTAAGATGTGATTCTGATGTTGATTTTTACTGAAGTAAAATCTCTATGAAAGGCATCACCTGTTTCAGCTAATTTTAAATTCCAGTGACGTAAGCAAATGTTAACCTGATTTTTTAAAAAAAATATTTACCTACAGTTTGGCACTGCTGTACCTCAGTTGGTTTTTGAATCAATCTGGAGTTAAATAATTACAAGGATATATGCATCCTTAGCTATTTCTTCCTTTTTGACTCTTTGCTTTTCCAGGTGTGTAAATAAGTTACAGCTTTTAGTTTACGTAAAATATGTTCCATAAGCCAAAAGAAAACAGTTAAGATGATATCTAATAAAGTGCTGCTTACAGATAGGAAAAAAGTAAAGGTAGAATGAAATAAAAATATCTAGAAAATAAGGAAGGTATTGAAGAAATCCTCCACCGAAAGCTGTCTAGAAGTTGCTTTGTGATACACAGAACAAATATTTTCTCACTTAACAATTGTTAGCTTGGGTTCTGCTGTTCCAATTTTCAGTCTGCAGCATTTGATTTGTAGTCAGTCATTTAAGCTGCAGTGGATATACTGCAGCCCGATCTGCTGCTTTCACTGGAAAAACAGCTCTGGCTTTGCAGCAAAGCACAAAGGTCTCCCGATGGCTTCCCTAGATGAGTTGAGCATGAGCTTCAGCTGCAGCTAGTGCCTCCACCCAGCTGCCCTCAGTAATGCTTTCCTTCCCCTTCGGGGAAACGCACTTCTAGCATCTTCATCCTGTCCCTTCCACTGGCAGGGCGCATGCAGCCAGTCTAAGGAACACTCTCTGGACACGATAGCTTTGTACCAGTGAAGTGACAGGGCTCGACATTTATAGGCTGAGTAGCAGGAAAAAATATGACTGTGTCACAGAAAAAGAGAAATAATTTTACTACATCCCTTTTTTTCTTAACAGACTGTAGGTTCAACTGTCATAAACGCTGTGCTCCTAAAGTGCCAAATAACTGCCTGGGGGAAGTTGCCATTAATGGAGGTAAGTTGCCTTAATGTTTCTGTCATTGTTTAAACCACCAGTTAAATTAAAAAAAAAAAAAAAGAAAAAGAAAAAGAAAAAAAAAGTAAAACTGTGATGGGTACAAAGACACATTTTTCCATTGCTTGGGAGTGGCCTTTCCTCCGCGATATTTCTGTTGTACGTCAAAGATGAAGGGTGGGAGGAACTCTACGAGTGGTTCATACACCATCAGCTCAGAGCATGTGTCTTCCAAATAGGTGGACAGGCTCAGCTGTGGCACAGAGGTGCTGTCAGCAGCAAAACAGCCTGGTGGTCATGGCCTGTTGAATGCAGAACGCCAGAGTAAAGCTACACCCGTGAGAAGCTGGCATTCACCTGTCAGATACAAGCACAAAATTGCTTTTTTTAATCTGGGGGGAAAAAGAAGTGTCTGGTTTAGGATTATCTTCCTGAGAATGAAAAGCATACCTGGAAGAACTGGGAAGGCTCTCCAGGAAAAAAATTCCACTGCTTCCTGTTGGCGTAAAACTAATCATACCAGTTGCCAGTAATAAAGGCTTGAATATCTACAGATTTTCCCATACATGTGCTGTCGGTTTTGTGTCAAGTATAGCAATATATGGGTAGGCTTGACAGACAGTACTGGAGAAAAAAAGGGTGATTGTAGATGAGTTGTTGATTGCCTCGAAAATGTCACTTTTCTATGTGATAAGGGAATGCGAAGTGTGGTAAAGTGTTCAGTTTCTAATGCATATTGCCATGTTAAGTTGTCAGCCTAAACTGCTTTTGAGGTTAATATATTAAGTATTGCCTTATTAGGTATGCTTTTTCAAACTTTAAATTGGTGATCTAATTTATTGAAGAGATATCAAGAATTTCCAAAATTAGGAATGTTAACTAATATTTTTCATAATACTTCTCATAGTAGTGTGACTGTATTACTACAGAGTTTTTCTGTTTTACAGCAGTTAGTGTAGGAAAAAATATTTCAGATGCTGAGTACCCAGCTTGAAACGTGATAAGGTACATGATTTTCCGGAAGGTTGATGTTGCACTCCTACAGCATGTTCCTCTCTGCACCTCAAACTGGACTCTTGGAGTCACTGTTCGTTTGGGGTTTTTTAATCTTTACACCATTTATAGTTCTCTTAACCATTAACAATCCCATAACGTAACTATTTCTTCAGGGTTGCAAGTAACAATGCTTATGGAAGTTTATGGCTTGATATTCAAATCTAAGAGCTAAACATACACCATGATGTGTTGATTCCATTGGTAACGGTATAGAGATTTCCCTGAAATTTGCAGTCAGAGAAAGTAACTAAATCTGCTTATGAATTATAAAATTTTTTCCTGCATAGGTGCAGCTTTAGAGAGGAGTGCAAAACAGGATTGATCTAAAGTGCTAAGAGAAGACAAGAAGGCAAGCTTTGTTTCTGGACAGTTGGACTAAATGAACCAAATTTACATTTGTTTCTGAATTATGCCTTGAAGTTCCCTCTTTCCATCTGAGGCAGCTGTATTTCATCCCTCCAACACACCCTCTGTGCCCTCTCCCTGACTTTGCCCCACAAGCAACATGCTACTTTTGTTGACTTGCCTCCTACACATGAATCTGATGCCAACCTGATGGGAAGTGACGGTTTGTCTGAGGAAGAGCTGACTGAGGAAAGCTTGTGCAAAGCCACTTGGTGTGAGAACACGTACTCCAAGCTTACTCCAAGTGTACTCCTTGAAGTTCTCCGTCTTAAAATTTATAGAATTTGGCTTTTCCCCACCGCGTAATATCCATAGTATGGTATGCATAGTGTCACAGTAGAACTCTTAATTGTGTGTCCTGAATGACTGATACAGGGTCCATAGCATTATCAGAGGCAATTTCATCCTGGTATCACATTTCTATTTTTACAGTAATTTGGTTAACATTATTTTCAAACTTAATAAATCAATACAGTATCTGTCACACTGTCCATCTGCTGTGTGATGCATCTTCCCCAAAATAGTAAGTGAAGGAAGAGCTGAAGCGATAAAATTCCAAGTATGGTCTCATTAATAAACACATTAAACACTAAATGTGGGAGGTTATTTTTAACTGATTGTGGGTTTATTAAAAATAGAGATTAAAAAAGTGTTGTAGGAATAGCAAAGAGAGAGCCTTGCACTGTAACATGTCATTCATGACTGGATGACTGTTTCTGCTAGAGATGAAGTATAATGTGTCTCTTAATCGCACATCAGTAACTTACATCCAAACTTTTTAAGACTGCTGTACATGGAAACAAATGTGCACTTACAATTTGAGTGAAATGCTATTAATTCAAAGCATTTTGCTGTCCGCCAGTTCAGTGCGCTTTTTCTTTTGGGGCATCCTCTACATTGACTGTCAAGAACCTTCCTCCACACAATTAGACAAAAGTTTCTTGATAGGAATATTTGGTGTATTGTATGTGATTTTACCTTACTTCAAATTCCTGAAACACTGCAGACATCCCAGAAAAGCTCTTGCTGTCTTTCCTATCTGACAGGACTGATGATTTTGACATGTTGGATCACTGCCTGTATAGCAGCAGCTTGAGTTTCAACAAAATGCCTTTTTTTGGTGTGTCTTTTTTTATTTTGGTTTGGTTTTGTTTGTTTGCTTTTGTAAAGTAAGTCCTTAGGTAAATAAGTTTAAGGCTTTCTCTTCCTTTCTATCTTACAAATAAATCCATTCACACGCAGCAATACAATAAAAAGTCATCTCTTACTTTGGTCTTGCTTAGGCATATCTGGTCTTGAAATTGGAAAGTTTAAAAATTTAAATATAAGCTGGAAGATAGTATTAATACTATGTCATAGTCAAATAAGTTAAATACTAAGTCTTTGTATTTTTTCCTATGCTATCTTACATTGATCTTTTTGATATTTATTTAATTTTTCTTTTCTAAAGTCAGGGAGTGTTATTTCAATAGTATGGATTACTGTGCTATATTGTGCAGCCTTCACAGAGAACACTGGTGCAAAGGAAATATCTTTTTTCACAAAAAGAGATAGTTCACATTATAAGCAATTGTCTTGGGAGTTATTTCAATACTTCATCATCATGTTATCATCATATTACAGAATTCCTAATTTTGAAATTACTGCTCTTCTAGCATCAGTTTGCAGCTGTAGCCTGCCAACAGCCATCAGGCCAGTACACAACATTCAAGCTGTTATAGAAAATCTGCCTGATCTCAAAAATAAAACTCATGATTGTAGAATGTGCATGAATAAGAAAATCTGCCTTGACTTTTGTCATTTTTTTAATAGAATGTTATATTTCTAAAAGTATTTTGGTTTGATGCCTTTACAGTTTTCTGTAGTGATTTTCTCCATGACTGATTACAGACCACACTTCACCAGTACACACTGAGTGGAGATAGACCCAAAGAGAACCTGAGTTTTCCTGAAGCTCAAAATTTATCACAATGATGTCATTGGAGTATTGTATGTTTTCAGATAATAACTTGAGAAATTATGTTCCAGATCTCCTTAGTCCTGGGGCCGAGTCTGACGTGGTCATGGAAGAAGGGAGTGATGACAATGACAGTGAAAGAAACAGTGGGTTTATAGATGACATGGAAGAATCTATAGCTCATGATTCTGAGATGTCAATGACAGGATGCCATAGTGACAATGGGGAAATGCAGGATGCTGATCCAGATCATGATGAGTCTAACAGGATGATCAGGTGAGTTGGGGAGTGTACCTCCCATCCTCTTTGGTATTTTTTAGTAACTATCCTGTCCAGGGCTCAAGTGAGAATCTACGTGGACCCTATTCTCGCTCCTTGATAATGGAAAGAGCTAGTCATATGTGGTAGTTCTGCAATTGCAGTGAGATTGCTTCACTGAATATATACATTAGGAATTTAAGAGAAACTTAAAAATTATTAAGTTGAAGTAGCAACTGAAAACTGATGCACAAATGATTGTTACAGGTCTACTCTCTTATGAAAATTATACTGTAAAATTTTATTTGTGCATGAGCCATAGAGAACAATGCTTTTTAAATTTGTTTTCCCAAGCATTTTTTCCCTGACTAAAAGTGCAATATAAAAAAAAAAAAAAAGAAATCATGTAAGTGGCTGTGGTATAATCAGCTCTAGATTAATTGTTTGCTTTTTTAGATAGCTTTAGAAAGAAGGAAAGTTTGACAAACTTGAAGTAGTAATTTCAAGCAAGTTACAAAATAGATTAGTGGTTTGAAATGACTAATCGGGAAGGGAAATGGGAGTTGAGTTGTGCAACTTACCTTAGAAATGTCTGAAGAGAAGAAAGCATTACTCACTTATTGGAACTGTACAGACTAGTAGGGAAAAAAGTAGAGATTATTCATTGTCAGGGAACCTAAAATGAATTAAGGTTCTTTCAACTGTAATTTCCTTGAGGCAAGGGATCTATACCTTGAAGAATCATAGGATGTTTTTCTTTCACAAGTACTAGTTTGACCTGCAGTTTCCCCTTTTATCTTGCTTACTAGGAGACTATTTCTGTGACATTCCCCTTAGCTCTACATTACTAACATATACCTGTTGTGCTGATAGAAAGCAATCCATTTCAAATAGACAGCATTGCAGGTTTTCAAAGTATAAATACCCAATTATAGGTAATAAAAACATTGATAACCAAGGTAATGTTTTACTTAGTTGAGGAGCACCCCTGTATTTCCAGTAATACCTTTGTAATATATGCAATAATACATTTGTAAGGGTAGTCCCAATGTCCATGGATTATTTTTAAGTGATCTATTAAAAGCAAATAAAATAGTAAATATCTTGTCAGTACAGACAAGTATAGTTTTATAGGGATTGCAGCTCATTTGATCATTTTCAGCCAAAAAAAGAGACGTTAACTCTGCTACAGTCTTAATGAAACCTTAAGACAGCACACATTTTGCATTTTGATTGGAAACTGCCAATTCACAAAATGTTTTATTTCCAGGACACATTACAGTGAAGCAAGGCCATCTGCAGACATCCACAGTCAGAACAACTGTGGAAACTTAACATATTATTCTTTTCCTGTGTGGTTTGTGCCCTTTTTTGTTAGAGTTGTTGCACCCATAGCTTTGCCAGCAGGGCAGAACGCATGAGTTCTGTGTTTTCACATACAGGGCAGCATCTCCGTTTAAAGTTCTACCAGAAATAACTAGGTTTTTAGGTTTAAGATTGAGCAGATTATGAGTCCATATTCCATTATGCAGAATCTGCTCTAGGAATGGTTAATTCCAACAGCAAGGAAAGTGGGAAGATGGGTTTGGCTTCTTAAACCTCTCCAACTAGATATTCCAGATTTTATCTGATGGTGCTATCAGGCATACTCTCAAGTTCCCATGCCTTCCCGACTTACTGTGTGTCAGACGAGTTGTGGAAAGTTTCAGCATGCATGCCCCAGAGTGCAAGGCAATGGGATGTTTCTTTAGGTCTTTGAGGAAAAAAATTTATTGGCTTAAACCTCTTTCTCCGAGAGGTTCCAGCAGATTCTTCACTGTGCCCTGCCAGGGTGTGCACAGCTGGTCGTTTAACACATTTTCTACTCTGTAAACCACCATAACTCCACTGTGTGTTTCAACCCAAGAAAGGTCATAGGACAGTAATCTGATGGACAGTGTTTACTTAGGTTATGAAAGATTCAAGATCAAGTACAGGTCTGAATCATACATAGCACAGGCTTGAGCTATGGCTCCCACACCCTAGTTGAGGACCTATGCATTTGCCCATCTTCTTAGCTCATCTTTAGGAATACTTTGGGAGAGAGAATGTGTGTGTGTGTAAGCCTTCAGAAGGTCTCTGATATTCTCCTGGTGTAGCATTAATTTTTTTTTTTCTTTGTATTCTCAAGATACTTGGAATGACAAAAAAAAGTAGTGTCCAGTCCCAGTGTGATAGTGATGATAAATATAAAAGTGGATATCAGAAATATATATATATTCTGATTTAAAAGATTTTTTTTCTTTTTGTCCAAAGTTATTTTCTTTTTTAAAACCGTTACTGATTTATTCTTAAGCCCTTCAACCAGCAACAATATTCCATTAATGAGAGTGGTACAATCTGTGAAGCACACAAAAAGGAGAAGTAGCACGGTAATGAAGGAGGGTTGGATGGTTCACTATACAAGCAAGGACACACTGGTAAGAAATCTAAAGAAAGACCTGTTTTCCTGTACACACTATATGATAGTACAGAATCAAATCCTAACAATACTTTGAGAATTTACAGTCACTTGTGTAAGGCATTTTTGCAGTATTTGTGATTCCTAAAGTCCTGACTCTTGTCATAACTGAAGACTGGCACTGCAACAGGAAACAGTTGAAACACACAAAAAATATCTGAATGTGTCAGTTGCGTTATCATAGCAGCCAAATGTGAAGACATTCTGAATTAAGTAAAAAAATATTATTAGCATTTTAGGGGCTCTGGAAAGTGGCTTTACCTTCCAGCTGCAGTCTCCTAGATATCTTGCTGCTAGGTGAATTGAGAGTTTTGCAAAATAGATTTAATGTAGAAAAAAGTTATTTTCATTCCGACCTGCTAAAGCAGGAACAAAGACTTCAGTATGTAGCTTTCTAAAGTGAGCTGGGGTGTTATATCTGATACAAAAAGAAAGTTTAATTGTTTTAGCAGCACACCTGTAGCAAATTGTGCTGAATGTAATGCAGACATCAAAGGGACATTTTAAATTTTTAACATTTGAACAATTTGAACAGAGCTAGGTTATTACCAAAACAAGAGTGGCCCTATAAATCCTATAAACTTAAATATAAAATCCTCATAAATATGTTGTAATAGCAAATCTTTATCATTCACAATTCATATCTTCAAACTTAAGTGAAACATTTTTTGAAGTGATGTTTTTGAGAAATGAACATTTCATTAATTTACTTGGAAAATGCTAGAAAAAAAATTCCCTCATTTTTCATTGCAGAGGAAACGACACTACTGGAGACTGGACAGCAAATGCATTACACTTTTTCAAAATGATACCGGAAGCAAATATTACAAAGTAAGGAATATTTTCAAATCTCTTTTTGTACCGGCAGAATATAATGACTGAATTGCTGGTTTAATAGATATTTACTGAAAGTACAGTAGTAGTATAACTTTGATCTACATTTGTTTTCATTATTTAAGCTGCGGATGTGTGTTTTGCCTTTCACAAACAAGTCTTAGATCAGAAAGGGGTCAGCTAAAAAGGACCTGTAAAATACATGTTGTGAAAATGGAAGGTTTTTAACAGGGGCAGTTCAGTACCAGTGACAAATTCTGGCACGAAACTCAGATGAGTAATAATATGAATTATTTCTGAACAATTAGGTATAGTATATATTATTTTAATTCTGTCCTTTGGACATTATGTTGTGATTTTGATTGTAAACCATTATTTTAATGCTCATATCTTTCTACCTGAGGCAGTTAAACTCCTTAGACATTACTGCAATAAATTTTAATAATGGAAAGTATTTTTTTCATGTGGCTCCCTTTCAGGGAAATATGTCAGTGAAACATGCCCTAAGTGTTATTCAAGATGAAAAAAATCAAGTTTACGCCTGTGTGAAAAGTGGATTTGGAATCTTAATGACAAATACATTTATTCTGCAAATAATTTATTGCAAATAAAATTTTATTAAATAGGGAGTCAATAGAGTTTGATTTTCTAGTGGAGTTTTGCTGACATATGGATGGTCCTGGTCTTTTCTGATGGCACCTCACTCCTCTTTTTGATAAGTTTAATTATATAAATAAAGTTCTACTTGGTCTTGGAAAGAAACATTTAGTATTTTACCATCAACAGTCCACTGTGTCGTGGAGTTTCAGGTTACAAGAACCTTTTTGTTTGTACGAGAAGCATGTGGTTAAAAGCAACAGCTAATATCATAAATCAGTTAAATAAAGTTCATGCTCTAGTTTTACATGTTGATAATCTTTATACAGAAAATAAAACATTTTTTCATTTTAGGAAATCCCATTGTCTGAAATTTTGTCTCTGGAACCTGCAAAAACTTTCACTTTACTTCCTCAAGGAGCCAATCCTCATTGTTTTGAAATAAGCACAGCAAATATAGTCTATTATGTTGGAGAAAACATAGAAAACCTCTCAAGTGTCCCACTGAATAACAGTGTTATCACTAGTGGTATTGGCATCGATGTGGCACGAATGTGGGAGATGGCAATACAGCATGCCCTGATGCCTGTCATCCCTAAAGGGGCATCAACTGGGTCAGGACCCAGCCTACATAGTAAGTTGATTAATTTCCTCCATTTCAGATAAGTAGAGTCGTATCACAAATGACATTGCTCAATCTTCTGCACACGTTGAAAGGAAGTATTGAACAGCTAGTAAAGGCTATTCTGTCATGGTTTATCACCTGTCTGCATATTATTTTAAACATCATGGTTTCTCATTCATGTATTTGCAGTTTATACTAGGACATCTGTATTAATATACAAGATGCAGATTTGTTAGGAAGCAAATAGTTGTTCTATATGTAAGGCATCTCATCTACATTTCTGTTGCTGACATATGTAATAACCTCCTTGTGCAGATGCATGAAGTTTTCTGAACTCTGGTTGCAAATTGATAGATTTTTCCCCTCGTGTCTGTAATTTGCATTTCTAACTATCTGCAGAAATAGCTCTTCACTCTTTAGGTCACTGCAGCATAGATAATATGCTCTCTTTCATCACATTTGGCTGTAAAACTGCCACAAATGTTGTTCCATGCTGAAATCAAAGGAGCTCAAATGTGAAGCACAACAAGGCACGGATGTTACACCAAAAAGACTGACTATATCTTTCCCTCCAATTTACATACCTTTGGGTAATTCTCTAGCAAAGATGGCAGCTTACGTAAACCAAACATGAAACTCGTTTAAATCTAGCTCAGTACTGATAGCAAAGTAGCACAGAGCAAACAATTCCCCACTGCTAGGCATGTGCTGCTGTGGTTGCTCTGCTACTTGTACTCAGCCTAGTTAGTGTAAAGTAAATTTGGATATGTCTACACAATTTGGATTAGACCTTTTTTTGCAATATACACTCGCTTTAGCACTTGACATCTGGATGCTATTAATGCAGTGCAAAATGCTAATGAAACCACAAGCCCTTCAGAAACCAAGTGATACAACAGGCTGTGGCATTACATGTCCAGGCACAACAGCTCACATACCAGATTAGATCAGCTGTGTCCTTTGCTTTCTTGACTGGGCTCCTGCATAAAATAGTGTCAAATTCTGGATGTCATTTCAATCAGGCTAGTTGCCTAGTGCCCCTGGTTTGAGCCTAGCATAGCTAAACAAATCACCTAAAGGGCTGGATTGGGAATGACAGCTGTCTTCTCTCTTGGGAAGTTTGAAAATTTTCTTTACAAGTTAGTAGTTATCTTTGGGATTTTTGTGTGGAAAATTAAGGTCATCTGAGACCTTTAGAACAAATTCCAGTGGGGACTGAGGGTGATGGCAACCTTCTGTCTTCTGCTCAAAGTCTCTGTGCTTTTCTTCATGTAAACACAAAGCAGCACATACATTTGAAAACAAATTGGCAATGATAAAAAGCCTCTGTCTGAAAAATTCCATTCCTGAACCAGTCTATTCCTAAGGAAAGGACGAGGGAATAAGTCACATGAGGCAGAAGTTACTCATGCTACTTACTGCAACTAGGAAAGGTGCTGACGGGCAGTAGTAAATGTCTACAGTGTGTAATACAGGCTTTGTAATAGAGAACACTGGTTTTGCTGAGGCTGAAATCCATAGTAAGAAATTCTAGGCAAATGTGGGAGTCAGAGGCGGCAATGCTCCCAAGGACCATTCTTTCCTCCTCAAAATAACATCTTTGTGTAATACACTTAGCAATAGACATATTCTCAAGTTTTATTGAACGCTTCAATAGGTTTGCTGTTCAGAATGCTTACGGTAACATCCTAAGCTCTGAATTTATAGAGGTTGGATCTGATATTTGTTGTATTAAATCCCAAGTGCAAGTTTTTATTTCCATTATGTGTTTTAATAATGTCTTTTAAGCCAGTTGAAATGTGTATTACTTTTAACACTACACATACCAATTTGAATGTGTATTGGCGTGAATAGCATCAAATACATTGTAGATGACACCATAAATAAAAATTATTATTAAATCCATTAAATAAAAACAGTTTACCCTGGTTGCACTTACGTCACTTACATGAGTATAAAGCCCCCAAAAAGAATGCACAAAAAGAAATAATGAGCTTAAAAATGGGAATTATGAGATTCCACTATTAAAAAATAGTGATGAAATGTATAATTCTGTTTTTTGCCATACACTGCAAAACTGTTGTTCAAGCCACATATTTGTGGGCTGGTGTAATTTTATACTGGCTGGGAGATGAACAAGCTGACCTAATTGGTCCAATTTCTAGAGCTGTCAGTAGATATTGATGTAATGTAAATGTCATTTCCTATTACTACATGTTTGAACTAGAAGCACAGCAATCTAAAGTATATTTTACTTTTTTCCCCAGGGGATATATCCATCAGTATTTCTGTGTCAAACTGCCAAGTTCAAGAAAATGTGGTGAGTGTTCTCTGGATGCTTGTGCTAGACATGCTATGATTAAGCTTGCGAAGTCATTGATCTGTTTTGTTAAGAGGAATGTTGGAGAAGAGTTCCCATCAGCCATTTTTCGCTTACTTTGTAGAAATTAACAAACAATTAGCTTTGCTAACTTCTGAGAAAAATCATCTTCATGGCATCTTGTCCTGAGGCACAAGAATTACATATGGGTAATTTTTCTTAACACAGAATTTAACTACGTATCCTTGCAGGATGTTAATTACCAAAAGGAAAAGCAAGCTGTAGAAGTTATTAGTTCATGGAATTTCTGTGAGCTGAACTTTGTAAAGCTAATCACAAGACTTGATAAACATTCTGTATATTTACTGATATTACACTGAGAGATCAGATATTCTCTGTTGTGCAAAGATGAAGCTCTGTCTGAAAGGAAGAGTTATATATGTTGTTACAGGTATGTAAAGAATTCTGGGTTTCTTTTACCTAGGACTGTTAGACACCGGACATGTGGTCAAGGTAAACAGACACACCAGTGATTTTTCTGTCTCAGGGACAGAGGAAATAAACAGGACTGCCTGCAGCGGAGTACAGCTTGGGGGCAGCTCTGGTATTTGCCAGAAAAATGCTAGGGAAGGATGTGTCCATTTGTTTCTTATGAAGAAGCAAGACAGCCTTTATTATCTACTCCTTGGCGTTCTTTTACTCTTCATTGTAACTCCTGGTTAAGTATCAGGAAAATGAAACTGAGCTCCAAGCTTTGAGGTTTATTTGAGTCTCCCAAATGAATCCGCTAACAGCTTGTGCTTTAGCTTGTGTTTAGGCACCAAGAAATAGTGAGATGTGAGACTCCCTCTCTGGCACAGATGGAATATTTTACCCCTCCCAGTACACAAATACAAACAGCCAAAGCCCAGAACTGCTGATGCTCACAAAGCTTTCTATAAACTAAGAAACCACTTGCATTTCTATGGCTGACATGAGAACTTTTTCAAGAAAATTTTAAATACACAATTTCTCCTTTTTCCTAAAAAACCAGCAGTAATTCCTAGATCTGGGATCCTGGGACATACAGGTGGAACGTTGCTAACAAGACCCTCTTTATTTCCATATGTACTTTCATCTTCAGATTTCACAAAGATAAAGTGTAATGTTGTGTGCTGGGGGCTACTTGCCTGGAAGATGGCAGCAGCTGAAACCTATTGAAAACACAGCAACTTTTACAGCAATTACAACCAGATAACATGGTTTTTAATAAAACTTGTGTGAACGTTTTTGGCAGATAATATATTTTGAAATGTACTATGGTAAATGTGTGCTGCTTCCCATTAGAAAAAGCAAATTAAATACAAATTTTGTTTCCATATCTCAGGGCTTAATATCTATTATGTTTATATAAACAGGATATTAGCACTGTATACCAAATCTTCCCAGATGAGGTGTTGGGATCAGGACAGTTTGGAATTGTTTATGGAGGTAAGGCTTTGGTGTGCTGTACTCTTATGCTTAAGATAGAAAATTTCTTGAATGGTGAAAGTATTTGGACTCTGAAATGTTTTGTTATAGAACTTAGCTGCCTGTTGGTTTATATAAGCAGTATTCATTAAACCATGAAACTGTTTTTTGTTGACAGTTGTTTTGTAATTTGAAGTTTTCTATGCAATAGTGTGTCAGTATATATGAATAGCTTCATAGTCTATGTAACTTCTAGTAAAGAAAACCCTGAAGTGCAGAAAACTGCTCTCTTTGAGAACTACAATAGAAGAAAAAAAAAAAAAGTATATTTTCTTCTTCCTGCTGTTTTTCTTGGCATGTCTTTGTGGGCTGTTTTCCTTTGTTTTTCAGTAGTTTGTTGGAATTATTTCTTTTTTTACTTTCTTAATCATTTTACCTCTTTTTCCTCCTTTTTTTCAGCAGTTTTTGGGAGTGTATTTAGGTACAAATGTTGTTTGAGACAGTGTGAAGTGAGAACTAGCTACAAATTTCTCACTGAAGAATCTCTGTGAGTCTCTGATAAACCCGGGACACCCACTCGTGCCTAAAGACAATCACCTCTTTTGTTATTTGCTAGTCTGGAACTGCTATCTAAGGACTAAACCTACAACGTGCCCATTGCAGAGAATGCAGCTTAAGTAGATGAACAAGCATAGGTAGATAGATAGATCAGAAAGATAACTTTGCATTTATATTCTTGAAATGCAGAGCTGCCTTTCTCATATGTGTATGTTTCTTACATGTTTAAACAGCTTTGTCATATGATGAGAAAAATTCTCTTGTCAAAGGGTAGAAAGGAGGGAAATGACAGAAAACTTCTAATGCCTTACATGACTTGATTTGCTACAAAACTGCTCAGAGAATTACTTTGTTGTGGTCATTTGTACAATCCAATGAAAGTGGAACATTTTTCAGAATTAATCATGTTAATTGATAGAGGCCTCTTATCTTATTAATGCAGGAAAACATCGCAAAACAGGAAGAGATGTTGCCATTAAAATAATTGATAAACTAAGGTTTCCAACTAAACAAGAAAGTCAACTTCGTAATGAAGTTGCAATTTTGCAGGTATTTTTCTATTCTTTTTTACTGTGTTGACTCCATTTGTACATTTCTATAAATACCAGATAATATGATCATTATTTTAATTGATAATCACAAGTATTTTTGCTCCTTAATCTGCATAAACAGCCAAGACCAAATGCATTGGCAATGCAATGTTAGGAATTACAATTTCTGCAGTTTTAAGCACCAGGCACAATCAGGAAGATGTACGTTTGTTAAACTAATTTGAAGTTCATCCATTCGTCTGTACTGTCCCTAGAAACTTCATGCCTGGTGTCTACAGGTTAGGGGCACAATTTAAATTATAAAATACTGAAACATTGTCTGGTTTAGGGGGGATCTGAAGACTGGCTATGTAATGATAAAACCTGCTGATCATGTTGGGAAACCTAGTGCTGTATTTATTTTTAATAGAATCTTCATCATCCTGGGGTTGTAAATCTGGAGTGTATGTTTGAGACGCCAGAACGAGTGTTTGTTGTTATGGAAAAACTCCATGGAGACATGCTGGAGATGATCTTATCAAGTGAAAAGGGCAGATTGCCAGAGAGAATAACAAAGTTTCTAATTACTCAGGTAAGAAATTAATTATAGACCTAGAAGGAGATTTGAGGTCAATTAGTATCACTGTTTCTTGTGTTTTGCTTTTGGCATAATTTACCTGTCTGATTTGTGAAAGACTAAATTGTAATATCAGGCATGGTAAGACAGCTTTGTGTACGTTATTTGTAAGGTAGTAAACCATTAAGAGGACCTAGAACTATACACATGTACAGCTGTCTGGCTGCTGGATGGCTGTAGCCATCAAGCTACCGTTTCTCATATGCTTGAAGAATTAAACATAAGAAAGGGATGCAAAGCTCTAACAGCAAACTGTTGAAGACCTACACAAAGAAATTTGAGCCTCTTGAACCGCCCCATACCTAACCGTTGCAGTTTGTACTATGCACTTCTGTGCATGTTTTCTGTGCCGCGATTGTGTCTCATCACTACCTCTGATTAAATGAGTCTGGTTTCCTGTATGACTTCCGTTAACAATGTGATCTGCGTCGTTTTGTTGTTCTTCTTCTTCCTGTTGTCATATTACTGTATTGCTGCTTCGACTGCCGATAATACTGGTTTAAATTTAGATACACAATTGAGTAGTGAGGCACCTCAGAATCAGAGCAGCCTTCAGCAATCAGGAAAAAGAAAGGAGCAGGAGCAGCCATGTTACGGTGGAAGTTTATTATTCAAGGTAGCATGTAGTAGGTTCCCTAGCTTTTAGGCTTTCGTTGGCGAAACTGCCACCAGCTTTAGAATTTGGTTTCTTGCCTTCCCAGGTTCATTCAGCCTCCTTGCCATTCCCTGCTCCAATACAGTGGGAAATTCTGTCAGCCCCTGACCAGGCATAAGGAAAGGAGTTAAAGTCACAGGAATGGGATAAAAATTTCTGTTACACTCTCTTGCCATGTTCTTGTGTGTGGAATGCAATAAAAATACATGCAAGGCTCTTTATGCTTTCTTCCCTCAACAAAATGTTTAATGGATCACCTAATACTTCTGTGAAGTTTTTTGAGTTAATTTAGATCTGGAAGGTCATTTTGCAAATGTTCCTGCATCCAGCATTTTCACGACCAAAAAAAAAAAGTAAACAAGTACTTAGAACCGAGGGTTTTTTAAAAATGTATAAAATATGAAGTCTTTGGAGAGGGAAAAATCATATGCCATACAGTGAAACATCAAGAAAACGTGAGGCAGAGCAAATAATAGCTAATATTTTTCCCTTTTTTCCCCCCCATTGTAGACTTTGTTCTAAAAGGTACA